CGCGACCTCTTTTTAAACAAACATGTGTTCGGTGCACTCGATTGCGAACTCCATGCGGAACCACAGGTTTTAGACTGATTATGGCATGCTCGCGCGACGGTGCGCGAGTATGCGGTTTGGCATCTTGCTCTGACAGTGGTTCTTAAGACTTGATGACTTGCGAGAAACGACTGCGCGCGCATCGTGATATTGGACGAGGGTGAGAAGGGGTGCGGGGATTGCGTGAATTCATTGCTGCAGCGAATGATGGGGCAGACTATGCACATGGCTTATCGCCAGGGAGGGTCGATACGTCCAGAGGGTGGTAAACCCTAGTTCCTCTATGGCAAGGAGAATTTAAGAAATGAGATATATGCGGCGCACTTAATTTTGAACAACTTGGAGCTGTTACCTCCACTGCTCGCACGATGATCCCCCTCCCACCCGCAACTTGGTTTGCAAAATCCACGCGGCGGCGATTGGGATGACTGCTTGGCGATGGCTGGTGCATCTTTGCGGCCGCGCTGGCCCGCGCATGCTGGCGCGCGCAGCGCCCTGCTAGCTTGGCGCGACCGACGCGGCCGCGCTGGCGCTCGCCGCTGGGCACTTCCCAACGGGCACTTCAGTGCGAGTTGGTGGCTTGGGAGGGCGCGGTATCATGGCGACGTCGACGACGGCAGACGCGGCGATGACAGTGGCGATGACGGTGACGATGATGACGATGGCGACCACACAGCCAATGACGGCGACCATGCTGATCACGCCGATGACGATGACGATGTCCTCGCGTCGGTGATGGAAGTTTTGGAAGGGGTTCGGCACGCGCGCGCGACCGACGCGCGCGAGTGGCCAACAAGGTGTTATTTGACAGGGGTCGCGCCCGCCGGCCCCCCCCCCCAGCACACGCGCAAAGGCATTTGAATGATTTCGACATGCGGCGCGAGAGGCAGGTTTGGTCGAGTGTGATGAAAACGTTGAAAACTGGTGGTTTTTCCTTAAGAATTCGCAAGCATGCGCGCGCAGACTTCTCAAACAACGGATGTTGCAAACACATGTGTTTGTATGCTCTCGGGACACTCGGTTTTGAATTCCTTACCGCGGTACCTCTGGATTGTCGCAGGATTCTGGCGCGCGCGCGCGACGACGCGCGCGCGCCCTTCGTTCCTTTGTATGCAAAGGGATCCTTGCGACAGCACGCGCTCCAGGGCTTTCGAAAGGTTTCGACATACGCGCGCGAGAGGCACGCGTAGTACATTTCGACGGATATTTTAAAACCCGCAAGAGCGTGAACCCAAGTTTCCCAAACAAGCCGTTTCGAAACCATTGTTTGTTATATTTTTGTTCGAGGTACTACTCGATTTAAATCCCCACGAGACTCAAGGTTTTTGAAGGACTCTGGCATGCGCGCGCGACGACGTTCGCGTATGTACGTGCTTCACCCAATGCGTTGCGAAAGATTACTAAAAACTGCTGGTTTGTGATAAGCGAGCGTGCGGGCATCATCTGTCCGCAAAGAATGGAGGGGGGTCGGTCCGCGTCTGCCTGGGGTTGTACGAACTCATATTTAGGATGGACGGTGCGGCAAACTCAGATGTAAGTCGTGATGCGAGTAAGTGAGGCGATAAGTCCGGGAAGGGGGTAGATCCTAAGGCTGTTTAAACATGGAGAACCTACGTACGTCGTGCAACCATATGTTGCCATCTATGTGGTGAAACTTATTGCTGTTTGCAATGAGTTGACTGCTCGCGCACTAGCCCCCCCCACCCACCCAAAACTTCGTTTGCAAAACCCACGCGGCGGCGATTACAATGACTTCTGGGCGCTGGCTGGCGCATCGTTGCGGCCGAGTTCGCGCGCGCAGGCTCCCGCGCACCACGGCCAGCTAGTCTGGCGCGATCGACGCGGCCGCGGTGGCGCTGACCGCTAGGCACTTCCCAGCGCGTTTCGCTTGCCGCGCTGACGCGCGTGCACTTCAGTGCGAGCCGGTGACTTGGGCGGGCGGTGTATTATGGCGACGTCGACAATCCAGACACGATGATGATAGTAGCGATGCTGGCGACGAGGACGACAGCGACGACGGCAAAGCCAATGACGGCGCCGATGCTGATCACGCCGGTGACGATGATGGTGTTCACGTGTCGGTGATGGAAGGATTTATTTCGACATGCGCGTGCGGCCGACGGGCGCGAGTGGCCTGCACGGTATTATTTGAAAGGGTTCGTGGCCCCCCAGCAAGCGCGCAAGGGCGTTCGAATAATTTCGACATGCGCGCGCGAAGCCCACTTGGTCGAATTTGATGACATGTTGGGAAACCTATGGGTTCCACAAGAACTCGCAAGAGCGCGCAGACTTCCTCTTGAAAACTCATGCTGCAAAGCCATTATTTGTTCTTGCTTCCGGGAATGTCGATATTGATATCTCTGCGGAACCTAAAGCTTGTTTGCCAGATTCTGGCATGCGCGCGCGACGTCGCGCGCGTGCGGACTTTGTCTCGATTATTGAAAAGGTGATTGTAAATTTAACTTGTTGGGGTCAACGAATGTGAGTGTGTGTGTGTGCATATGTTGTTGTCAAGGATGGGGGGGGTCGAACCCGATTTGGCTGGGATGATGTGATTCATATGGTACATCGACGATGGGGCATAATCATAATTTGCAACTTGCGCATTCCCACGGGGGACGGATAACCCCAGGGAGGGATCATAGTTTTTCTTGAAAAGGGAATCTATGTGGTGCGCAGTCTATGTGGTGCATTCGCAATGCAATCATCTGGAAAACATTGAGTGCAATGAAATGCAACACAAAACCATACAACGAACTGCAAAGCAATGCAATGCACTACCGAGCAATGCCAGGCAATACAAAGCAACGCGTTCCAATGCAATGCAAAGCATCGCGAAACAATGCGAAGCAATACGCACCAATACACAGCAATGAAAAGCAACGCGTAATCAAAGACGATGCACAACAATGCGCATCAATGGAAACCAATGCAAGGCATCGCAAATGAAGCAAAACACAATTTATGTAATGCAGCGCAAAATAGCGCAACACAATGCAAAGCAACGCGAAGCAATGCAGAGCAATGCAACACAATGCGGTGACGAGGCGGCGGGCGGCGACGACGCGGCGACCAGCAGCGAAGGCGGCCACACGGCGGCCAGACCCGACGCGCAGGTCCAGACGATGGGCGGCGACGGGGCGGCGATGGCAACCACAAGGCAGCGGACCCGACGCGCAGGCCCAGACGACGGGCGGCGACGAGGCGGCGACGGGGCGGCGACGGCGACCGCACAGCCGCCAGACCAACGCGCAGGGCCAAACGACGCGCGGCGATGGGGCGGCGACGGGGCGGCGACTGCGATCACATGTTCAGCAAACCGACGCGCAGGCTTAGTTCCACAGCGAACAATCAAGATTCCCTAAAGTGAGCGTTTCTTTATTCGGCATTTCGACGTTCGGCGGAAGGGGGGCGGGGGGAGGGGGGGGGGTCTGGCTCCGGACCTCTGGTCACTGCGACTGTTTGCAACCATGTGCACTATGGGGGAAACTCCACCTGCTCGAAACAGGCGCCAAAAACAGCCAAGATCTACTCCATTGGGGGGGGGGTGCGAAAGCCCGCGCCGATCGGCAAAACAATGAATGAGAAAATTACCCCCTAAATCCAAACACTGTTTGGGGAATGTGCTCCTACTTTGCCACCTGGCCAGCCGATAGCCATCCAATTCTCGGGGCTCCGTTCTTCCAGAGAGCTGCGAAAGTCTAGGTTCTTGCTCGCGGCATGGACGTTTTGTCGCCCGCGTCGCACTCGCCTCGGCGTCGCGCAGATTTCGCATGAAAATGGCGCTCCCGCCTCGGCGTGTAGGTTACTCTCGCCGAGTTGTCGTGCCCCGCGCGAGCGGGCGACTCGCTCCCCTGGTCCAAACTCCGTGCACATGTTGTTTAGACGTGGCTTTCCGCGCAGGCACGGCGCACATTTCCGTCGTCGAATTGCACGAAAAGAGCAGCGGCAGCGGGGCCGCGCGAGACCTGGCATAATGCTGCCCCCGCCGCAATTCATTTGTGCATGAAAATGGCTGTGCTGTTGCAGCGTGGCCCACGATTCGTATTCGCCGCGCTCAGCGGAAGTTTCGCCGCGCCCGTAGATTTAAAACGGGCCTGTCCTCTTACAGGGGGATTTTGGACGACAAATAAAAAACAGGAACAAACATCCAAAATTATTCAAAAATGATATAAAAATGGTCCCCATACTATTTTGTGACTATTTTTGAATATTCCCCCTGTATAGGGACAGGCCCGACTTAACCGTAGATGGACAACGAAGTGGAACCCTTGGCTCCGCTCCCCCCTTTCCCCCCTCGATCCAAAGTTGGCCTTGGGCATTCGGGAGCGCGGGCTCGAAACGACCAAAAAAGTGGATCCCCCAGGGCTTCCAGCAGGCCGGACGCCAACTTTGAGTCTGGGGGGAGATGGGGGGATGGGGTGGGGCGAACATGGGGTCGAAAACGAAGGGGCTCCACATTTGTATCCCCTTACTGTCCCGCCCCTGCGCGGACGCCAAGTCGTCGGAAGCGGGACCGCGTGCGAGCGCTTTCCGTTCGCTAGGTGGGAACGCGTTCCAATCCCAGTATCAAGTTGTGCCACAATCGATTACTTCGTCATGGGAGGGAGGGTGGGAATTGTCGGTGCCCGCTGGCGGGGTCGACCTGGCTAACTTACTCCTGCTCCAGCTCATTCTCATCCTCCTCCACGGTGGCGAGACAAGGCTCCAACCAACCGTCAAGCGACCAAACGTTTCTGATCTTCGAGCGGCTTCCGTCCGGGCCCGTCCGGGCCTCGGGGCCCTCCCACGCCAGCTGCTGCTTCCAGCGTCTGCTCCGTCTCCTCCACTGCTCCCTGTTCCTCCGTCTGCTCCCCACCAATGCGCCTCTGCCGCTCTTCATTCAGATCCCACTGCCCGTGCGCCCTGTCTTCCCTGTTGCCTACATGTTCCCTCTCCCTGCTAATCCATGGCGGGCGTGCCGATATCTGCATCGCCTCACGCTGCGCCCGCTCCATGTCCAGCTCCTGCGGGTGCACTGGAGTGGTGCTCAGCAGCGGGCACCCCAGAAAAGAACACCGATGAGGAGCAGTGGCGGGGAGGGGAGGAAGGCAGGGGTCCGCCAGACCTGGCCCGATAGAGGCTCGAGGGCGTTCGAAATGCCTGCCTTCCGCACACTGTATTATTTTCCCGCACTTGTTGGGACAAGCGAGAAACTGCGGAGCATCACCTCTTCACATGTGAAGCTGAAACACTCGTATATTCAATTTTTTCGCAATGCCAGCGTGCGTACAGCCGCCTCTGTGTTGTCAACGTTGCCCGCACAAGATCTCTCCAGCACGACGTTGGGGCCGTTGCCGTAACTCTCTAAGGCGGCTGGACGACCTGTAGCAGTATTAGGAACATGTCTGTCCGCCACGAAGGCGTGTACCCTTCCAGCGTGCCAGTGCGCCCTTGTCCTCCTGCAGCTCCAGCTGATGCTCCTCCTCCTGCTCCTCCTGCTTATCCTCCTCCTCCTCCTCCTCCTCGTCCTCCTCCTCCTCCTCCTCCTCCTCCTCCTCCTCTCCTCCCCCACGCGGGAGCCTCTTGTGCACGCGGGCGCCCATGCCCACTGTACGAGGACATCCCTGCCCTGCTTTGTGCCGTAAATCGACAGAGACAACGCGGCCCCTGGAAACCCACGTGCATCGTAAGATGGCTCCTGTGATGTGGGGCAACGTAAATCCCACCAGCCTCCTGGGCGTGAGTGCTTTAAGGCGTTTCTTCTTCCAACCCCTTTCTTCCTCTTCGGGGAAAGGGAGCATCACTGTTCCTTGTTAATCTACCCCCCCCCCACCTAGCGGGCGACAACCCCGGGACCATGCGGGCCCCCCGGCCATCCCTGTCAAAAACAATACAAACACCAAAATCTGCATCATGCGCGGACGCTCCGCGATCACTTTGAATTTGTTCATGTCAGGGACGGCGGGGGTGCAGGCATGTTGCCTGCTGTGTGCATTGCCAGCACCCCCTACCATCTTTTGCAAAAGACAATACAAAATACACTTGGTCTCCAAATCTGACTCATTCGCGGACTCCCCGCGACCACTTCGCATTGGTTCTTGGCTGGGGAGGCGAGGGACCGCATACTGGCTGCTGTGAGCAACGCCAACACCCCCCAGCCATCCCCTGCAACAGCAATCACAAAGTGCACTTTGCACCCCAATCTGGATCATGCGCGGACGCCCCGCGATCATTTTGCAGTGGTTTCTGACAGGGGCCCACGCACACACACATGCACACACACACACACTTACACACTTACACACTTACACAATTACACACTTACGCACTTACGCACACACACACACACACGGCGAGTGCCAGAAACCTTGAACCCACCATCTCTTAGCGCCGCAGCTTTTACTTCCGCCAGTTTCCGCTGGTTTGCTTCCGCTGGCGGAGGGGGCCTCGTTTTAGCTCCGCCGCCTTCCACCGGCCTTCCGCCGAGGAAGAGATGGCAACTCCTTCGACCCTCGAAGGCAAGGCCTTTTCTGGAATGCCCCACGTGTATTCGACCCCCGATCGCCGGGAAGGGACTCGAGCAGCACTGGGCGAGCTTCGCGGACCGGGCGCGGCCAGCGGGCGTTCTGCTGGCGCGGGCGGCCGCGCGGGCGGGCGGGCTCGGCAGGGCCTGGGTGAGCCGCACGGCCGGCGCGGCCAGCGGCCGCTCGGATCGGCGATCACAAAGCCGCGCGCAGGCACCGCGATGGGCGGCAAGGGGCGGGCCTACCCAATCGGGGACTTACTGGGCCTTCAACCCAGACCCGGGTCAGTCAAGCCCTGCAGGATCCTGCAGGATCCTGCAGGATCCTGCGCACAAGCCCGGGCCAAGGCGCCCCTGGCCCTGCAGGATCCTGCAAGATCCGGCGCCCGGGCTGACCCCCGTTTGCATGGACCCCCGTCTCCCCAGCCCCGACCCAATCGGGGCTTCTTAAACGGGGGTTTAGCTAAACTGGGGCCTAGGCTTCTCCATCTGCCCCCGTTGCTGTACCCCCGTCTGCGGCGCCCAGGCCCCCCTCAACGGGGGCATAGCCAAACGTGGAAATCGGCGTTCCCCGTGCCCCCGCTTGCTATGCCCCCGTCTCCTGGCGCCCTGACCCCACGGCCCTCCCTGGGCCCCCCGGGGCCCCATCTGGACATTGCCCCTGCTGCGGCCGCCGAGCGAGGCCGACGGCCCGACGCTGCCGCTAGCGGGGCCCGAGCTCCGCGCCCGCCGGCTGCCACGGCTGCCCCGCCTGCGCGCCCGCGGCGGATCGGCAGCGCAACGGGCTCTCGCGCGGCCGCCTCCGCGCGGGGCTCCCGCTCGAGGAAGGCGGCGCTTTCTCTGTGCAGCGTTTCGTCGCTTGCCTCTCAACGCTTTTGCCCGTTTGGGGGGGAGGCCTTCCGAAACCTCCCGTGGGGACCTCCAGGGGTCAGGATCGGCGACACAACAAATGCCAATCTGGGGCCTCGTACTTCATCATCCTGCTCGTCTTCCTGTTCCTCCTGTTCTTCCTCTTCCTCCTGCTCCTGCTCCTGCCCCTGTTCCTCCTCCTCCTCCTCCTCCACATCCTCCTCATCCTCCTCCTCCTCGCCTTCTCATCATCCTCCCTCCACCTCCCCCTCCCCTTGGCCAACTATTCCCGCTCCGCTCACTCTCGCCCCCCCTCCCCCCCCTCCGCCTCCGTCCCCACCTCTTCGCCGAAGGCTCCCACAGCCGTTGCTGCCGTGTCACGGCCTCGTAAGTCTCAGTCAGGTCCACCTGAGGGTGGCGCGCCAGCGGTCCCACCTCACTGACTGTATCCTGCTGCTGCTTCTTACTGCCACGCCCGTCCAGGGCGCCTCGCACGGGTGTGGCGCGCCCAGTGAATCATGTGCCCGGGCACGCTCGAGCGCCTTCGTCACGTCAGACTTGGAAACAGAGCGGACGCGTGCTCAGATCAGATCGTACATTCGTACATCATGCAATTTCGCTTCCTTTCCCCCTCCTCGTCCTCCTCCTCCTCCTCCTCCTCCTCCTCCTCCTTCTGCCCATCCTCCTCCTCCTCCTCCTCCTCCTCCTCCCTCCTCCTCCTCCTCCTCCTCCTCCTCCTCCTCCTCCTCCTCCTCCTCCTCCTCCTCCTCCTCCTCCTCGTGTGTACCAACACTGAGCTGCAATAGCTATGTATGTCTGGGTGCGCGGCCGATGGTAATAATTAAAGGGTGGATGCGCGACGCACCGTAGACGCAGTCGAAAAAAAAGGCCCAACGGGGAAGGGGAACAGCGAGCCGCTGCTAAGCGGGCACGAACGTGCAGGTAGTTGTGCTCTCCCAGATCCGCCACCCCAAACTCCTCAAAACCACGTCCCTCCCCGAGGGTGCCGCTGCAGCCTTGCTGTGCTGGAGCCGTCAGTGAACTCAGCTTGGTGAAACAATATGTGAACGCAAGGCGCCAAAAGTCCTCCTGAATATCCTCCTCCTCCTCCTCCTCCTTCTCCTCCTCCTGCTCCTCCTCCTCCTCCTCCTCCTCCTCCTATTCGTCCTACTCTACTCCTCCTCCTCCTCCTCCTCCTCGTCCTTCTCCTCTTCCACCTCCTCCACCTCCTCACCCTCTGCTCCAGCTGCCGCTGCTCTTCCTTCTCCTCCTCATCCTGATCCCCCCCTCCTGCTCCTGCTCCTTCTATCCTCCCGTTCCTCCTCCTTCTCCTCCTCCTCCTCTGCTTTTCCCCTCCTCCTCCTCCTCCTCCTCCTCCATCCAGAAACTTCTGGACACCTCCGACAACATCATCAAACAACCATCCGAAAACTGTCCGGACTCACCCAGGAATTTACGAAAACAGGCAAGACCTCCTTCTCCTCCTCCTTTTCCTCCTCCTCCTACTGCTCCTTCTCTTCCTCCCTCCTCCTCCTCCTCCTCCGAGTGGCTTTCGACCCATAAGTCGGACCACAGAAGGCTGTGTGGGACGGTGCTGGGCTCTCACGCTTTCGATGAAGCCCGAAAGACATAAACATACCTGCAAATAACTCCGAAACCTCCATCCTCTCATTTCAGCGGCCCTCTTTCCTCCCTCCTCTCTCATCATTCCCTCCTCTCTCTCCACCTCCTCCTCCTCCTCCTCTTCCTCCTCGTCATTGTGCTCCCTCTCCGAAGATGACCGACGACCACGGCAACGGCCAACAGCGATGAAGACGACGGCAGCCGAAGACGAGAATGGCCAACTACGCGAAGGCGGCAGCAACGACGACAACGACGAGAACGACGACGACCACGACGACGAAGACGGCCGACGGCCGACGGCCGACAACGGCAGACGGCAGACCACGACAACCAACGGCCGAAGATGACAACGACTTCGGTGGCAACTCATGGGAGCCTCCCGTATCATCTTGTCGGCTCCTGCGAATCGACGCCAGTCGAAGCTAAATCGACGCTAATCGACGCTAAATCGACCCTAATCGACGCTAGCCGACGCCAAATCGGCGCTATCTCATCGACCCCCAGACGCTAATCGACGCTAATCGGCTCCCATAACTTGCTGCCGACAATGGCGGCCGCCGACGACGACAGCGACGATGGGCGCCCGCGACCGGCGGCCTCCTGGCTGCCGACCTGCCGGCATAGGCCGCAGCCGCGGCCGGAGCCGCCGTGGCCGCCGCAGGCAGTGCAGGTCCAGCCTATGCGGTGCCCCGCTCGTCGTCAGCCGCTCGCCGTCGTCGGCCGCTCGTCGTCGTCGGCCGCTCGTCGTCGTCGTCGTCGTCGTCGTCGTCGTCGTCGTCGTCGTCGTCGTCGGCCGCTCGTCGTCGTCGTCGTCGTTATCGTCGTCGTCGTGGTTTATCGTCGTCGTCGTCGTTCATCGTCGTCGTTCATCGTCGTCGTCCGTCGTCTTCGTCAAAGAAGAAAGATCTTCGGGAAACGCTCTCTGGGGAAACCTGGCGAAGTTGGTCTGCAATCTCCAGGGCCATCGAACCCGCTGCAACGACCAAGTGAGGACCCCTTAGGCAGAGCCTGCACGTGGGAAGCAAGCAACATTGAAACACTGTAGCCTTTCTCTGGGCGTTCCCCTCCCTCCCCTGCAAAAACCCCATCCCTCGGGCCTGGCGGGCGCTTCACCCAGTTGCCATCCGCTTGAAGCTTCCTGTGATGGCCAAGCAGAATGACTGAAGTCGCCGATGGAAGGAAGAGAGGAGGAAGGAAGGGGGAGAAGAGGAGCAAGATGACGAGGAAGAGAACGAAGAGGAAGAAAGGGAGCAACATGAACACCAACATTAGCAAGAAACTGAATCATGCCTGCACGATCTAACTGAATCATGCCTGCACGATGAACTGCAACTGACCAACCGAAACTGAATGTGGAAAGTCACCCTGTCTACTCGAATCATGCCTGCACGCCTGGTCATTGATCTGAAGGAAGACTGCGACCGCAGAAATTATCCCTTCTGTACTACTCCTTTTATGACTCAGGGCCAACTTCAAATATGCCTCGTGGGCCGGCCCTTCAGATTCATACATCCAGTCTCGCGCTTCACTGAAATCCTCCAAGCAGAATGCGTAATAGAACCGCGTTGCCGATCAGCCTGTTGGACAGACACAGCTGCTGAGTCGAACTCGGTGGGAGTGTCGCGGGCCCCCCGTGGGGCACAACTCATGGACCTGTGAATGTGGAGAGCACCGCAGTGCAGCGAACTATCCTGGGCCTTCAGAATGCAGAGGCGCCCCCCAGGTGCAACATACAGTGACAGTGGAGGCCAGTCCACAAGAAACCTTCCACAAGAAACCCAACCCTGAGACCCCAGGGACGTCCTTTGACTTTTGGTGTAGGAGCGTCACGCTTTCCATCGCAAAACCATCGAAACCCAAGAAACCCATGGCACCCTGGAAGCAAGCAGGGTGTTTCTTGGCATGGGCCCCCACTGTACCAAACCTTCGTAGCGCCATGCAGAGATGCAGTCAGCACGACCTCTCTATTGGGCAAGCATCTGGCCGCACACACTTCTGCCTACCTCGTTGGCAGCTAATGCGTGCAAGCAACACCCTGGCGCGGTGGACCTCGCAAGACCCAACGATATCTCACGTGCGAGCCGGTGCGAGTGCGGGCAACATTCCCACCGTGCCAGCTGGTTCCCGAGAGGCCGACCAAGAGGCTCCCTGACCACAAGGGGGCGGTCTGCTCGATGACAAGGGTGCGGCGGGCCCTTGCAAATCAAACTGAAATCTAAACGGCGGGTTCGTGCCGTGTCGACCCCGGCGTTGGTTCCTGACACCGCGGGGATCGTCCAACCTCGAACGATCGGCCGTTTCCGAACCATCAGATCGTTCAACATCGGCACGCGTGGCGAACTCGCCCCTGCGTCGCGCGCCTCGGGCCTGAAATTTGTTCCCAGTAGCTGTCCGCCCAAAGCGATCGCCGAAGATGCTGAGACTCGGGTGCTACTTATGTGTTGGGAGGGCGGGTGGGAGTGAGCCAAACAGTTTGCGTGAGGGAGAAAAGGTCTTGATCACTGATCCTTATTAATGTACACTCCCTCCCCCACCCGACCAGCGACAAACCCGGGACCATGCGGGCCGCATGGTCCAGAGAGCAGCAGCCGTGCTGCGCGTGAGCAGGCCATCCCATAGCGACCCTGAAACCATGTAAGACGCGCGCGGGATGATTTCCAAAGCCACCGTGGACCATTTCCAAATTCAGAACCGCGTGGCACGTAACTGGCCTCCAAACACCCTAAAAAACATCTGAAACCACGTTCATCGTTCATGATGTGTTCCCCCGGCCTGCCCGTGACCCTGTCCACGTGCGGCCTTCCCCCGCCACCCGTGTCAGAAAACAGTGCAAACTGAACGTTGCGGCAGCAGCTGGGCCGTGCGTGGGCGCCCCGTGAACACTCCTGCACTGGTGTTCGACGGGGACGACGGGGGGGGCCCTCATACTGTCCGGTGCGCGCAGGCCTGCCACCCCTGTCCAAACACAATGCTAAACACACTGTGTGGCAAAATCTGGACCGTACGCGGATGCCCCAAGATCGCGTTGCATCGTGTTTGACACGGATGGCGGCGGTGCCCTCCTCATGTCCGCTCTGCGCAGAGCCCCTGTCGACACACAATGCAAAAAAGCACTGTGTGGCAAAAGCTGGTTCATGCGCGGGCGCCCCGTGATCATTTTGCAGTGGGTTTGACAAAGGGGGCGGCGGGGGGGGCCTCATATTGACTGCTTCGTGCAGGCTAGAGACCCCTGACAAAACCCATGCAAAGCACACTTTGCGGCAAACTCTAAGTCATGTGCGGGCGCCCCGCGATCACTTTGCATGGCTTTTGGCAGCAACGGCGGGGGTGCCCTCATATTGTCTGCTCCGTGCTTCCGACGGGCTCATGAACTCAGTGGACTCGGGGCCACAGGATCGGATGCTGCCTATGTTTTGGGAGAGCGGGTGGGAGTGAGCGACACGGCTTGCGGCTTGGGATAGCTTGGCCTCTCCCCCTACCCCGTTCCCTACCCCTCCCCATGGATCTGGACGGAAGGGGGGGGCGCTAACCTTTGGAGCGTCTCAGATGGCCCAAGATAGCTCCAAGATGGCCTCAGAAAGCGCAAGATGGCCTCCAAGATGGCATGATCGAGTCGAAACGTATTCGCGACAGCTTCCAACATGCGCTGATAGGCCCCAAGACCCTCCCGAGACGCTTCCGAGTGGCAACGGGGTCCCTTCAGGACACCCCCGCGAGGCCCAACTCCTTCCTAAATCGACAGACAACTAATGATGTGTGCTTTCTCACTTTCTCGTTTTGAGTGGGCTTTGGAAGCCTCAAGACGGCTCCAGCCCAAGAGAGCCCGGCCCCAAGACAACCCCAAGAGCGCCGAGCGCCTCCAGAGCGCCCTGAGAGGGCCCCACGGTGCGACTTCAGGGGCTCCAGAGGGGCGGCGCTGACTGACGACCACCCCCCCCCCTCCCAGCGCTACAACAGCGCCCTGAGAGGGCCCCACGGTGCGACTTCAGGGGCTCCAGAGGGGCGGTGCTGACTGACGACCACCCCCGCCCCCCCACCCCCAGCGCCTCAAGAACGCCCTGGGAGGGCCCCACCATGCGACTTCAGGGGCTCCAGAGGGGCGGAGCTTACTGACGACCACCCCCGCCCCCCCACCACAAGTGCCCCAAGAGCGCCCTGAGAGGGCCCCACGATGCGACTTCAGGGGCTCCAGAGGGGCGGTGCTGACTGACGACCACCCCCCACCCACAGCGCCTCAAGAGCGCCCTGGGAGGGCCCCATGATCAGGGGCTCCAGAGGGGCGACGCTACCTGACGGCCCCGCTGCCCCCCCCCCCCCCCCCCCCCCCCCCCATGATCAACGCAAACGTTGAAAAAAAAACAAGGATTTTGGCATGTCTGGGGCATCCTTGGGAGGCTTTTTGGCCAAGTGGGGCTCCAAGATGGCCCCAGATGCTTTAAGATGGCCTCCGACATGGCGCAGGCTGTTCTAAATTGGCTCAAGATGGCGTCCAAGCTGCCTCCAAGAAGCCCCATGACGGCAACAAGACGCTCTCACGTAACCACGGAGCCTTCTGGGGAGGCCCCCGAAAGTCCAAACTCCTTCCAAAGCCTGCACCAAGAGGCTCCCGGGAGGCGATTACCTGGGCTCCGGGGGAGCAGGGCTTACTAAGGACCCCCCTTCTTTGATCGATGTCCTCCAAGATGGCCCTAAGAGGGCCCACGAGGGTCCCAAGATAACCCAAGAGAAGAGTTACCTACTCTGAACGGTGAATTGAATTATATGCGCAGTGCTTTCTATGCAAAGTGTTCTTCGCAATGCTTTCCTCGCAATGTTTTCTACGCGGTGTTTTCTGCGCTATGTGTTTGTTTACGCTGTTTTTTTGTTTACGATGTGTAATATTGTTAGTCGGCTTGGCTTTACGACATCATGCGGCAACTTGTCGATGTGTTGTTTTTGCGTCGTGTTTGTTTACATGGTGTTTATTCGTAATTCTGTCATGTTCTATCTTAGGATAGCGGTCGCACCGCTGTTTGCCGGAGAGCTCCCAGCCCGCGTCTGCCAAAGGACCACGAAGTACCCCGCGGGTATTTTCGGCGTACTTCGATGTGCATTCCAGATTCCTTCGCGCAAAGTGGTTTCCCTTTTGCGGTCGCCTTTGTTTTTAGAGCTGAGAGCCCTCGGGCAAGCAGCGGGGCAACGCAACAAACCAGACCCTTGCTACTCACAAGACTGCGCCTCCAAAACGGACAATCTCAATGCGCATGCCATAACAAGAACTGTCCGCGAGCACTTCTGGTTCTTATTCGTGTGCATTTGTTTGACAGGCACCTTTGAATGACCGTTCTTGGAGCCGTGCTCTTGTGGTAGAGTGTGGTAGGAGGTGTTAACAGAGCCCAAACGCAGCGTGTTCTACACAGTGCTTTCTACGCAGCGTTCTCTTCGCAGTGTTTTCCATGTTGCTTTGATGTGCTTTTGGGGGCAGGCGCCTTTTTAATTATCGCTATTGGAGGTGTGACCTTGTGGTAGAGTGCGAAGGGAGGTGTTGACAAAGCCCAGACGCAATGTTTTCGACACAATGTTTTCTACGCAGTGCTTTCTACGATGCGTTTTTTTTTTTTCTTTTTTAAATCGGCCTGGCTTTACGATGTCATGCAATACTTTCTCGATGATGATGTTGCGAGATGTTTTGCAACACTTGTTTTGCGTCATGTCTTTGTTGCACTGCGTTTTTGTTTAGTTGTGTGTTGTTCGGTTCCGTGTTACGATGTATGCAGTACTGTGTAGGTGCTGTTGTGCTTCGTTTGTGTTTGGCTGTGCGGTGTGTTTACGCAGTGTTTCGTACGTCGAGAATGTCTATGGCTTGCCTTGTTTACGCTGCTTTGTTTTACTATGTGTGTTGTACCTGGCATTGTTGTACGATGCGCCACGATACTATTGTGCTGAATGCAGAGACATGGTGTTTGTTGTACGCTGTGTTGTTTACGCTGTGTTGTCTACGTGGTGTTTGTACCCAGCGTTGTTTTACGATGTCCTGCACTACAGTGTATGTGAGGTTCGTTTACATTGTGTTTGTTTGCGCGGTGCGTTTACGTGGCCTTGTTTACGTGGTGTTTGTGTTCGCTGTGTTTTGTAAGCTGTGTTTGTTTCACGTTGTTC